TGTGGAATTACCTCCCTAATCATGTCAAGGGCTGTACCTCTCTCAACCAGTTTCAGAGTAGAACTAAGTACTACCTAATTAACTCCATGTAACCTACCTTACCCTCTAAATGTCAACCCATGTCTTGCTATTCTAAACAATATGCTGTTTGTTGACCAACTTGTACAATTGCTGCTTTTTGCAAACCAGTTCCTCCCTTTTTTTCTTTTTTTAGTCCTTTTTTTCAACACAATTTATGCTTTACTCCCAATTACTATTAAGTTTTAGTCTAAGTGTTTTTCCTTCACACCTTGCCCGAAACGCTATGCATATTAGTGGCTTTAGGTATTGTATGAACTAGCTCTATCTATAATCCAACAGTATGTTTGTAACTCTGCATCTATGTATGTACTTTTCCTGATTATTATCATCATCATTATACAACACTCGTCGTAAAAAAAAAAATCTCAAAAACGGTCGACATACTTTCTAAAATCAAATACAGTATTATGTTCCCTGCTCTGCTCTCCTCTCATTATACTATGCACTAATCTATCCCTATCTAACATAGGGTATCTGTACATGGGGTTCAACCACTGCAAATTACCTCAACCCCATCATCACTCGGTAAAATATCAGAACTGTAACAAATTCTGTCTTCAAACAACACACAGCACCTCCAAGTCCCTTGACATGCTAAACACACACTCGCTCCACACATTCTCATGTGCTATCTACACGTACAAAACCTTGTTCCTAAATGCTAATCTTGAGCTGAAACTTTTCCTTGTTAGATGTAATAGAACCCATGAGCACCACACCAGAAATAAATCTCTGATATCCCTAGAATCAGACTAAATCTGTGTAAACACTCCATGCAAATAAAAGGGCCCAGTCTTTGGAACTCGCTCCCTGATGAATTAAAAAAATGTTCAACCATGCCCTGTTCAAACGTAAAACCAAACTGTACCTAATTTCATCCCTCATAGTTTCCTACCTTGTGCTTCAAATTCTCACATTCTTGTACTACCCACTTCCCCATTATTAGTACTTAACACATGTATCCTTACCAGTGTAATCACCGCTGTCAACTTATGTTGTAGTTATTTGTTGATATAAAAACCTTGCTACAATGTACCCTTTCATCTTACCTGGTATGTTAGATTAAGGACTTGCCCAAAACACTATGCATGTTAAGTGGTTTTTGTACGAATATAAAAATACCGATCTTATGAACAAATCCACAAGGGCCGTGACGAGGATTCGAACCTGCGTCCGGGAGCATCCCAGACACTGCCTTAATCGACTGAGCTACGACAGGGTTAAAAAGAGTTGAAACCCAAGTTCTACTGAACTTATTGGATCCCATAGCCTCTCCGAGGCACAAACCAGGATTTCACACAACTCTCCCTTGCACCCAAGCTATGTCAATAGGCCATTTTCCCTCTTCCTCCCTTGTGGATTTGTTCATTTGATGCATCACGTTAGTGTGATCTCTGTGTGTAATACCAATCTTATGTAATCTCACCAACCCTTTGTACCTTCCTGCAAATTATTAGTATTATTAGACGATGTGCAGAATACCCCCGTTGAAAAACAGAGGTGCAACTGGTACTCTGAGAGAGAACTCTATCAACATCAGAGGTCCGAGACTGTTCAACACGCTTCCACTACACATAAGGGGCATAACTGGCCGACCCCTCACAGTGTTCAAGAGAGAACTGGATAAGCACCTCCAAAGGATACCTGATCAACCAGGCTGTGACTCGTACGTCAGGCTGCGAGCAGCTGCGTCCAACAGCCTGGTTGATCAGTCCGGCAACCAGGAGGCCTGGTCGACGACCGGGCCGCGGGGACGCTAAGCCCCGGAAGCACCTCAAGGTATCCTCAAGGTATTAATGATAAAGGATTTAATTCTTCACTCAGAAAATTTTAGATTCACATCACTTATTTTACCTCTGCAGCTCTCTCTTGGATATGGAGAGCAAATAACAGCTGTAAATTCAAATTTGGGTCTCATATCAACAACTGTTTTCTTAAGCATTTCACCAACTATATATACCTGAAAGCTGAGTACATGTATGTACTATGCAAGTATAGCATAGGACCCTAGGACAATGCTTTTGAGGAGATCCTCTGATGACTGTTTATGTTCAGTATAATTCCTAACTCTCTCTTCTTCACCAAATTCTAGAAAAGTTTCACATAATTAATACATTGAACAAGGCCTGGTCTCACTTATACCATTATATGACATTTGACTACATTAAATTCTATTTTGTCAAGATCAGTTCGGAGGATGTGGCAATCCAATAGGTGCTTTATTCCATCCCAGAATCTAAGCAACATCTGAAAATGTGTTGCTATAACTAACCCTGTAGAAGCCCACTGACAAATACAATGAACATTATGGATACAATAACAGCCCTGTTGGACCCTGCTTGTGACATCCTGAGTCCGGTCCTTTAATTACTGCTCTCATCTTTCTCTTGGAAGATTATTAAACTCTAACTTTGAACAAAATTCTCTTATGAGGGATATTAAATGCTTTTCCTAGGTCAAGATGGATAGAATCTGTTCAGTTATCTCCATCTCCTAAAATAAATTCGATATTCAGTACATGATTTTCAAGTCTTGAAACTGGACTACTATTTTTATTATTATTATTATTTATATATACAAGAGTTCTTACATTCTTGTACAGCCACTAGCACACAGCATTTCAGGCAAGTGCTTAATCCTAATTTTCTTACACACACACACAATTCCCAGGAAGCAGCCTGTAGCAGCTGTCTAACTCCCAGGTACCTATTTACTGCTAGGTCAACAGTGACATCGAGGGTGAAAAAACTCTGCCCATTTGTTTTCCACCTCCGCCGGGGATTGAACCCAGACCCTTAGTACTACGAACCCTGAGTGCTGTACACTCGGCCATCAGGCCCCCATATACCTGTTTATAGCATCGCTTCTTTAGAGGCATGTGCCTACAAACACATTCCTCTAAAGAACCAGTTGACTGATGGTTGAGAGGCAGGAACAAAGAGCCAATGCTCAGCCTCCACAAGCAAAACTAGGTGAACACAACTAGGCGAGGACAAAGATGACTGAAAACAAATGAAATAGTGCGCTCAGCTCAGATGCACATTTTCTCAGAACCCAAGATGAAACTCACATCTGTGCCATCTGCCTTGTTTCTACCTAACACCTTGAGCATTTTTTCCCCACTTCATCTTCAGACACCTGTATGAACTCGTGTCATTCTTTTTAATTCATATTGTGTGTGGTTCTCAGAAAACTTCACATGCACAAACACAGGGGCACTGTTCATTCAGTGTTTTACATATTTCCTTTTCCTTCTCCATGAATCTGTTCCCCACTTTCAACATCTGGATTTTATCCTTTGCCTGCAATTTGTTTTTAATGAATTCATGGAATAGGCTTGGTTCCGTTTTGCATCTGTCTGTTATCCCTTTCTCAAAACTTCTTTCTACCTCTCTTCTCACTGCTGAGTAGTTAGTTGTTACTTGCTTGTTTGTATTGCTGGTATGTTTGAGTGTCTAGCCTCCTTGTACATTGATTCCATTTTTTTTTCTCTGGGCCCCTCTCAATTTATGTTGAACCAATCCTGCTTCCAAGTTCTGCATCTCTGTACTGGTATAAATTTTGTTGTACTTTTATCACCTCCCTCTCTCTCAACTTGGCATGTATATACTGTATTTCTGTACCTAGCAATAAATCTTCCCAAATCAACTTGCAAAGTTCTTCATATTACTCTTTCTTAAAATCAAGCTTTTCCAAAATTTCCCTTTCCCCAGTCTCTTCTAGATTATAACTCATTGCATATTTGATTTCCAAAAGGAAATGGTCTTACCCAATGGAGGAAGATACTGAATGCCAATTATCTCTTCTTTCCTGATAAATATCAAATCCAGCAACGATGGAGCATCCCTTTCTCATAGCCTGTTTTACATGCTGATACATGAAAGACTGCAGGATGAGGTTCATGAATCAGCCAGCTGAAAAATCCTCCATTCTTTACGTCACAGATTTCCCAGTCTATCAATTTCAAATTGAAGTCATCAAGCATCAACAATCTTGATTTATCTTTATCTGGTCCGACAGTATGTGCACCTGCAAGTGTCAGTATGTGCATGTGCCAGAAGTGCCGGTATGTGCATGAGCCTGCAAGTGTCGGCATGTGTACCTAAGTGTAGGTAAAGGATGAAAGCTATGCTCGAAGTGTCCTGTCTTCTCACCACTCTATGGTACATAATGCTTTGAAACTATTGACAGTTTTGGCCTCCACCACCACCACCTCACTTAACTTGTTCCAACTGTCTACCACTCTGTGAAAGTGAATTTTCTTTTATTTCTTCAGCAGCTTTCTTTAACTAGTTTAAATCTATGACCTCTTGTTCTTGAAGTTCCAGATCTCAGGAGTTCTTCCCTATAATTTTTGTAGATTCCCATTATTTTGTATATAGTGATCAAATCATCTCTTTCTTTTATCTTCTAGTTTTAGCATATTTAATGCCTCTTAACCTCTCCTCGTAGCTCTTGTCTTTCAGTTCTGGGAGCCATTTAGTTGCATGCCTATGAACTTTTTCCAACAATTTGTTGATGATTTTCTTAAGATATGGGCACCATATAACCACTGCATATGCCAGCTTTGGTTTCACAAAGGTCAGGAACAATTTCCTTAGTATTTCACCATCCATGTATTTAAAAGCAATCCTGAAATAGTAAAGTGTAGCATAAGCTCCTCGTACAATGTTCTTTATGTAATCCTCGGGTAATAGTTTTCTATCTAGAACCACCCTTTTTTTTATCAGAATTTTTTAAACATTTTCACATCATTTTTAGGGTGTGTGTGGTGTATTTTCTCCAATTCTACCTTCCTTCACATGTGTGTGTGCACCTGCAAGTTAGTCATCATCATTCATATTTTAAATGGAAAACATCATCAATATATGCATGAACAAATTACAATATGGGAATGTAATAACAATGAATCAAATCACCTCATATTCTGCAGTAAGATTGTCAAGGCATATGCCACCTCCATGTTCTTTCAAAATAGTCTGGAAGATCGTTCTAACAGAGTCTGCGTGACGTTGGGAAGACCACATGTTCTCACTGCTTCCACCTGCATAACAGTAGGAGAAAGGATATTGAAAAGGACTACACATACCTTGCATTATTAGTCAATATTGTAACTTATGAAACACACGTTCTAAATAACATACTCTAGTGGCAAGTCATCTGTTGCGCCTTCCAATGCAACATCAAAAAATTATTTTAACAATAAAAACAGTTAGCTATAAACCCAGCAGATACACAATAAACTTTTTATTATTCAATTAACCTTAATGTGAGAACTGATGAATACAAAATTAAAGGAAGAGTAATGAGACACCTGTATACTGTAAAGTATTTTCATTCCAAATTTGCCCCAAGCCTTTTGAAAGAATTTCTATTATTCACAGTTTAATAAGTCTTCTAATTAACTGCACAAACACAAACTTAATTACCCTGTATCTAAAAAAGGCTTTTGAATATACTGGAAGGGTGACAGGGAGACTTCTGACATAGATTAAACATTTTGACAGAAAAATGAGGGCAGTAGTCAAGAGGCAATATATCAGACTGGAGAAATGTTACTAGTTGTGTACCACACAATTCACTTCCAGCAATAGTAATGTCACTGTCTATATGAATGATCTACCAGAAGGGACACAGAATTATATGAAAATATTTGCTGATGATGCCAAGCTACTAGGGAAGATAGTAAAATTAGACAATTTTCATGCCCACCACTCATTAAAAGTTGCACAACAGGTGGGTGCAGCAGTCAAAAAAAAGCTCCAAACTGAAAAATGAGAGCTATGAGGAAAGGTTAAAGGTATTAAGTAAATAATTATCAAAAAGAAGGCACCAAACCGGGAAGGTTATGTAAGGTATTAAATATATCTAAGTTAGAAGATAAAAGAAATTGTGGTGATAGGATCACTACATACAAAACAGTAACAAGAACCTACAAAATTAACAAAGAAGAATTGTTGAAACATGCATCTTTACGAACAAGAGGTCATAGACTCAAGCTAAGGAAAAGGCTGCCGAAAAAAAAAATTACAAAGTTCCCTTTGCAAATGGAGTGGTAGAAGCTTGAAACAAGCGAGGTAGTGGCAGATGCCAAAACAGTCATTAGTTTCAAAGCATCACATGACAGTACTGGAAAGAAAGGACATTATGGGTATAGCTCATGATGTCCTGTCCAAGGAATGCACATCAGAACATGGTGTGTCAAAAAAAAAAAAAAAAAAAAAAAAAAGTGTGCGCTAAATGGGAATGAATCTGATTGGAGAAATATGGTAAGTGGGGTACCTCAGGGATCCATTTTGGGGCCAACCATTTTTGTCATACATCAGTGACATAGATGAGATTACAAACCACATCAACAAATTTGCAGATGACACAAAGACTTATGGTAAAGTGGGAAATGATAATGATGTAGAAGCCTTACAAAGAGATTTACATGAACTATATGAATGGTCAGATGACTGGTAAATGCTTTTTAACCCTTAAACTGCAAAAACGTCATATGATGTGTGACAATGAGCTCAGTTTTTTAAATTTTCTGAAACTCTTTCAAGTGTTTTGTCCATAATCTACTAGGCAAATGCTCCAACTTTGTCTAAATGATACCAGTGTAACTTGAAAAACAAGAAAATAAAAAATATTTATAAAATTGAATATTGAAAACTTCAGATTTTGAAATCAGCTGCAAAAATATATAATATCACCACTGTTCATTTGGTGTCATTAAGCTCTCAGAATACAAATGATCTTCATTTTCATATGTTTAGAATATAGGTTTTGAGTATAGTTTACTGGAAAAAAAATTTGTCAATATGGCATTTGAAATATGTGCAAATTTAGACGACAAAAAATTAAAACCAAACGTTTAAAGTTTATGAAAAATCAATTCTATAGGGATTGTAGAACAGACAGCAGTGCACACTATGTGTAAAAATAATGAGAATAGGTCAGAAATTAGATTTTTGAATACTGAAGTTGAAATTCTAGTTATAGATATAATTGAAGTTGAAGTTATCGACAATGAATAAGGCAGTTCTAATTCATGAATTTACTTATATGCTATAATAAACATTGTTTGGCATTCATTTTCAAATATGTGAAAGTTGTAGGTCACTATGTGTTCAAAAGAAGTCAAGAAAAAACCCCCCCCCCCCCCCCCCACCACCAAAAACAAAATACTGTATAGGGATAATTTCCTGCCCCGAAACGCTTTGCGTAATAGTGGCTATAGGAATTGTATGTACTAGCTCTTTCATAAATTCATCAATATTTGTATCACCCCTTGTATGTATGTACTTTACCTGAATAAACATTTGAATTTTTAATTTTTTTTAATTTTTGATAATTATAATAATTATAATGATTTAGGGGATATATTTAGGGTATACTTTATATAAGTAAAAAAGACCTAATCTGGTCCCTAATCATCAAAACAACCTAAAGAAACAAGGAAAATAGTTTGAAATCTGTGAAAAAATCAGCCAAAAAAATTCAAGGTCCCAAGTTCTGAGAGTTGTGACTGATTTATTTGTTGACCAATTTAATTTTGTCTTCACATAGTTAGGTACGGGCATGCATTCTCCAGGATGTATAGGTTACAACAAATTCAAATAATAAACAAAGGAGGAAAAAAAAAATAAAAAATTCCTAACAAAAAAAATCCCCCTAAAAAAATATTTTTTGGACATTGTTGAAAGTAACGGATAACAACATTGGGCAATGTATCTATATGATATATAACAAAATAGAGCATAACAACATACTCATCATTATTTGTTATTATGTATTACTCACGAATGCTATAAAGGCACCAGCTGTATATACACTTTGTGGAAATTCTTACTACTATTCTTCTTTGTGCATCAGACACGTGCTTACTTCTCTTTTATTATTGCATTATCCATCAGTTCCAGTTAATAGGAGCTGTTCTCCTTATCAACAAAAAGTTTTTTTTTAAATATTCATCTAAAATCAATTTCTGAAAATATTTTGATGAAAGTTTCATGACGCTGAAGCCAATAAGTTGGAGATTTGTTTAACATTTTTAAGTAATTTTGACATAATTTGAATATTTTTCGAATTATACCCTCTTATGCTGAGCAGTTTAAGGTTTAATATTGACAAAGGCAAGACCCTGCATGTGGGGCATAACAACCCACGCCATCACTACCAAATTAATAACAATACATTACAGCAGATTGATGAAGAAAAGGACCTTGGAGTCCTTTTCACCACTCCACCACTCAATGATAGTTGCACAGCAGGTAGGCACAGCAGCAGATTACAAAACACTTTGAAAAAAAGATTACACTTTCGCTCAAACACTTGGAATACTCAAGCGTACCTTTGACTCTACAGCACTAAATGCATATCGCAATTTTCTTCCTGGAAGGGCCTTGTTCATGATTACTATCCATCGTGGAGTACGCGTAGATAGTTTCTAAAGCCGCAGTAAGAAATATAGCCACGGGAAATAGCCGAAATGTTCACACGTTTGAGATGCGAGGGGAGGCGACATTGGTCACAACAGTGGAGCAAAGACAATGGGCCCACGGGGTGTGCCAAGCCGCCTGAGGGCCACGAGGCTCAACAAAGAAAATGGGAAGACATCGGCGCACATTTTAAAACCAGTCCCCAAAAAATCAGATAAAAACCTGATTTTTGGCGAATTTTTAAAGTGGATGACGCAATGCTGCGTCATCCCCGGCATTACCGCCAGTAAACGGATGACGCAATGCTGCGTCATCCCCGGCATTACCGCCAGTAAACGGATGACGCAATGCTGCGTCATCCCCGAGCGAAAGTGTTAAGGAAAAGAAGGTAGTGATTCAATTGTACAAATCTCTGGTGCACCCCCCCCCCCCCCATTTGGATTACTGCATCCAAGTATAGAGACCTCGTCTTCAGAAGGACATAGCTGCTGTGGAGAAAGTGCAACACAGGGCAGCAAAAATCATTCCAGAGCCAAGTCAACTCTCATACCAGGAACAGCTGAGGGCCACAGAGCTAACAACACTGCAAACCAGGCATGACAAGGCAGATCTCATTGAAAGTTTTAAAATACTGAACAATTTTTTTTACAAGAGTTCTTACATTCTTGTACATACAGCGTTTCAGGCAAATCCTTAATCCTATGTTCCCTGGAATACGACCCTGCAAAAAATCATTTAACCACCAGGTACCCATTTTACTGTTGAGTTAAACAGAGGCTACAGTACAGGATTTGCGCCCAATAAATCCTACCCGGCCAGGATATGAACCCAGGACAAAACGCTCGCGAAACGTCAGGCGAGCATCTTAACCATTACACCACGTAGACTAAGGATTTACAGTTTGTAAATACAGTTTTAAGGAGTTACAGTTTACAGCGTAATTTGGAGGATGTTCATCCGATAAATTTCTTCAAAAGGTCAGATTAACACAAACAAGGAGCAACGGTTTCAAGCTCAACAAGCCACAATGTAGAAATGAGAACAAGAGATGCTTTTTCACCCACAGAGTTATAAACCCATGGAACTGCCTACCCAACAAAGCTGTAAATGCCAAAACTCTGTTAATATTTAAAGTGCAGCTGGAAAAGATCTAGGTAAATGGGGGGTGGGGGGACGTTCAACAAGCTGCCAGCTTCCTGTCCTCATCGAGGTCACTAGGTGTTAATGGCTCTCGGGCAAACTCAGGATGAGCTTTGAAGTGCCCTTTGGAGCATGTGATCTGTGTGAACATGCATTTAATACTGGCATGTGGTGGAAGCAGGATTAGCTGGTTCTGGAAAAGGAAAATTGTAAAATAAATAAATAAATAAAAGAATTAACACTTGGTTTACCCAAGGTTGAAATATGCAAAATGCATAAGCATAATTGCATGGAGAAATTACTGACAAGGGTCTCGGAGGGCATGGAATGAATACAATACCTCAGAGTGAGAAGAGAATCATAGAGAATTTGAGAATGATACAGGAATTACTATGATGGCTTTACAGCCACATCATAAGGAAAACATAAGTTGAGGAACAATTTATGAAACTAATAATAGGGCAGGATATATTTACAGAAAATGATATTAATGTGCGAGAGAAATTTGACTGGACAGTCAACGAAGTCTTCACAATGGAGTAAGAGAAAGTGCCCCAGTCAAGAGGGATGATGTCAAACCAAGTAGCACTGGCGAACTTTGAGATTACTGCAAATAAGTACAGTACATATAGCACTTTTTTAATCTTTTATCAATGTCAATATAATCTCCTCTATCCAGTGACCAGTGACTTTACTCAGTGTACTGCTAAATTGTTAAAATTCCATCCTACCTGTTTTAGGCAACAGCAGCACCTGGCCCTCATGTCCACTGCACTTCATGGTGACCGTATTTGGTATGGCTTTCAATAACTCGATAATATCACAATAACCATAATCAGATGGAATTAAGTTTTTACCAAAATTTTTTTTGTAAAAGAAACTGATTTTCTCAAGATTAATCCCTTTTGGGTTATGATTCAGTAATTTTTTTATATTATTTTCAACTTCAGATGGCAACTGGGAGCAATCACGTCTTAAAGCCTTCTCATTTTCAGCATTTTTTTTATCTGCACAATTTTCTTCTAAAGCTCTCTGATCTTGTGTTAAAGGTTTATCATTCTCAGCAGTATGTCTCTGTCCTTTCAACTCTTTATTCTCATTTCTAATACAGGATCCATTACCATCAGCACTCTTTGTACCACGAGGCATAACAGTGTTACTTGCATCTCCACGCTTTTCAGCATGTCCACTATACTGTTGACTACCTGTAGTTTCACACTTGGGACCATCCTTTTCTTGAGGAGATGGATTTGTTGGTTTAAGCAAGCTAGATGGTATACAAGGCTTACACGGCTGCTTCACAATTCCACGCATGATCAATGTTAGACTATTCTTTTTCCTCTTTCTGGTCCTTTTACCCATCAAATATTTATTTATCTTATAAACTCTCAGATGAATCTGAAAATAAAGGAGCAGCATTAGTCCATATTATAATATACAAGCTACAATGAACTAAAGCCCATACCAACTGATGACAATCACACACCCTAAACATAGAAAAAACCTTATAATTTTTGTATCTGAATTTACCCAAGGACCACTATTACAGTGGAACCTTGGTTTTGGAATGCCCTTTTTTTCAAATTTTTCGGTTCACGACCTCAATTTCTTAAAAAAAATTGACTACAGTCAGTATATTCAGAGTTTGCCTCGGTGCTCGAGTTTGTTGATATGGGCCGACCGAGCACATGACGCACTTCAGTTTACCAGTGTCTCCCCCACCTAGTGACGATCACACTTTAATTCTTTGTGAAGCATTTCATTGTTTTTGTGCTTTTTGGGTTCCTGAACATAAGAGTTCTTATATATCACACCATGGGTTCCAAGAAAGTCAGTGGTAAAGTTCAACCTAAGAAAATAGTTGTGAGGATGAGGATAGAGGAAAAACAAGAGATCATTCATTGTGAGAATGTTGTCTCATTACAGACAAGTGTTAAAACATAGGGAAAAACAATTGTCTATAGACAGATTCTTAGTAAGACAAGCAAGCTTTGAGCCACAACCAGGTCCTAGTGATATGCCTGCAAAACATAAGAGAGAATACCCAAGAAATGTCATGACTGCTGTTATAATGGAAGGGGACTCTCCAAACACTAACACCTCTCCTCCTCCCCCCTTCCTCACTGTCTTCCATACACCAACACGTCCTCAATAAAGGTAAGATATACTTGTATATACTGTAATACAAAATATAAGTAGTAGTATGTATAAAATGTATTTTTAAGTTAATATTTTTGGTGGTGTGGAACGGATTAATTCAATTTACATTATTGCTTGTGAGAAAATTAGTTTCGGGTTTATCTCTGGGAATAGATTAAAAATTAGAAAACGAAGGTACCACTGTTCTAGTGGCCTTGATGAGGACAGGAAGCCAGCAACTTGTCAAAGATCCCCTATTTGCCCTGATGATCTTTTCCAGCTGAATTTTAAAACCCAGCAGAGTTTTAGCTCTGTACTGAGCTGCTAAACACCTCAAATGATATGGTGGAAGTGCTGATAATCAAAATAGAGATTCTAAATGTAGTTATTGTCCTTGTATATAAGTCACCGGAGGCAAACCCTCAGCAGTTTAAAGACCAACTAATGAAAATAGAACACTGCTTGGAAAACCTCACTAATCCAGCTCCGAACATCATCCTGCTTGGGGACTTTAACCTACGGCACCTGAAATGGAAGCACCTGGCTAATACAGTAATATCAGAAAGAATACCAGGAAGTAGCCTAAATGAACAGGCACATGCAAATGACCTGCTACGGATGTGCGACAGGTTTGCCGTAAACCAGCAAATAGTAGAACCAACTAGGAAGGAGAACACGCTGGACCTCATTTTCACTAATAATGATGAATTGATCAGGAACATAATGATTACAAATACCTGTTAACTCAGATCACAACTTAATTGAAGTTATGACAACCATGGGGAGTAGACCTTCAAAACCAGTCCAGATTCCCGGTGGAGGAGATTTCAGCAAATTCAATTTCAATAATAAACAGATAAACTGGGAGCAAATAAACCAGGACTTCACAGAAATAAACTGGGAAGAACTGCTAGAAAATGCAAACCTGAACCAGTGCCTGGAAAAAATAAGCTCAGTAGCACTAGAAATATGTTCAAACCGCATACTCCTAAGAAAAAAGAGAAAGAGATGCAGATTGGAACGGGAACGTCGTTCCCTATATAGGCGAAGAAAACGAATCGCGGAACAACTTGAGAGTCGCACCTTACCTCAAGAACGGCGAAGAAGGTTAGGTAGAGAAATAGAAACAATTGAATTCAAGCTACAAGAATCATACAAAACCCAGGAGAGGCAAAGAGAGCAAAAGGCCATCAGTGAAATAGAGAGAAATCCGAAATAATTTTTCTCCTATGCAAAATCAAGATCAAAAACCACATCTAGTATCAGGCCCCTGCGAAAGGGAGATGGAACTTTCACCGATGACAACAAAGAAATGAGCGAGCTACTGAGGAAGCAGTACGACTCTGTATTCAGTGAGCCATTAAACGCACTAAAGATTGATAACCCAAATGAATTTTTCATGGATATGATACCAACATCAAATCATATATCAGACGTCACCCTATCCCCACTAGATTTTGAAGAAGCCATAAACAGTATGCCTATGCACTCTGCACCAGGCTCGGATTCTTGGAACTCCATATTCATCAAGAACTGTAAAAAACCACTATCGCAGGCCCTCCACATTCTGTGGAGACAAAGCCTAGATACTGGCGTTATTCCTGATATACTAAAAACAGCAGAGATAGCACCACTTTATAAAGGAGGAAATAAGGCAGAGGCAAAAAATTACAGACCGATAGCACTAACATCGCACATTATAAAAAATTTTGAAAGAGTGCTAAGAAGTAAGATCACAAAATACATGGAATCACAGCATCTCCATAACCCCGGACAACACAGTTTCAGAACAGGGCGCTCTTGCCTGTCGCAGTTGCTGGACCACTATGATATGGCATTAGATGCTATGGAAGACAAACAAAACGCTGATGTAATTTACACAGATTTCGCGAAAGCTTTTGATAAATGTGATCATGGCGTTATTGCACATAAAATGCGTTCAAAAGGAATTACCGGAAAAATAGGCAGATGGATCTACAATTTCCTGACCAACAGAACCCAATGTGTAATAGTCAACAAAATAAAATCCAGCCCATCAACCGTGAAGAGCTCAGTCCCCCAGGGTACTGTGCTTGCTCCAGTACTTTTTCTCATCCTCATATCGGACATAGACAAGAACACAACCTATAGCACTGTATCATCCTTTGCAGATGACACTAGGATCTTCATGAGAGTAGGCAACATAGAGGACACGGCAAACCTCCAGTCAGATGTAGATCAGGTCTTTCTATGGGCTACAGAAAATAATATGGTGTTTAACGAAGATAAGTTCTAGCTCATGCGCTATGGAAAAAATGAAAATATAAAAACGGAAACCACGTACAAAACTCAGGCAAATCATGACATAGAACGAAAAGGCAATGTAAAGGATCTGGGTGTACTCATGTCGGAAGACTTTACCTTTAAAGAACACAATAAAGTAGCCGTCACAACTGCAAGAAAAATGACAGGTTGGATAACAAGAACTTTTCACACTAGAGATGCTATACCGATGATGACACTTTTCAAAACGCTTGTGCTCTCTAGAGTGGAGTACTGCTGCACAATGACAGCCCCTTTCAAAGCTGGAGAAATTGCCGACCTGGAGAGCGTGCAGAGATCCTATACTGCTAGAATTCACTCAGTAAAACACCTAAACTATTGGGACCGATTAAAGAGCCTAAATCTGTACTCCCTTGAGCGCAGGCGGGAGAGATATATAATAATTTACACATGGAAAATGTTAGAGGGGCTGGTCCCAAACCTGCACACAGAAATAACATCACATGAGACCAGAAGACATGGCAGGATGTGCAGAATACCCCCGTTGAAAAGTGGAGGTGCAACAGGTACTCTGAGAGAGAACTCTATCAACATCAGAGGCCCGAGACTGTTCAACACGCTTCCGCTACACATAAGGGGCATAACTGGCCGACCCCTCACAGTGTTCAAGAGAGAACTGGATAAGCACCTCCAAAGGATACCTGATCAACCAGGCTGTGACTCATACGTCAGGCTGCGAGCAGCCGCGTCCAACAGCCTGGTTGATCAGTCCAGCAACCAGGAGGCCTGGTCGACGACCGGGCCGCGGGGACGCTAAGCCCCGGAAGCACCTCAAGGTAACCTCAAGGTAGGTAAGGTAGCATTTATTTATTTATTTATACAGCATAAGTATACAGGAGTTCTTACATTCTTGTACAGCCACTAGTATGCATAGCGTTTCGGGCAGGTTCTTAATCCTATGTTACCTGGAATATGACCCCGCGAAAAATCGTTTAACAACCAGGTACCCATTTTACTGTCGAGTTAAACAGAGGCTACCGTTAAGGATTTGCGCCCAGTAAATCCTCCCCGGCCATAATACGAACCAGGACAAAGCGCTCGTGAAACACCAGGCAAGCGCCTTAACCACCACACCATAGAGGCCACGGAGATTTTGTTTATGGCTTCAGCGGGTAGGCAGTTCTGCGGGTTTACAACCCTATGGGTGAAAAAGCATCTCCTGTTTTCTGTCCTACATTGTGGTTTGTTGAGCTTGAACCCATTGCTCCTTGTTCGTGTTACATCTGACATTTTGAAGAAATTGACCGGATCAACATACTCCAAACTGTTCAATATTTTAAAGGTATCGATGAGATCCGCCCTGTCATACCTGGTTTGCAGTGCTGTTAGCCCTGTGGCCCTCAACCATTCCTGATACGTGAGATGACTAAGCTCTGGTACGATTTTTGTTGTCCAGTGTTGCACCTTCTCCAGAGCAGCTATGTCCTTTCTGAAGAGGTCGTCTCCATGCCTGGATGCTTAATCCAGGTTGGGGTGCACCAGAGAACGACTGGTGCGACATACAATTGAGCGACTACTTTCTTTTCCTTGAAGGTAAAAGTATGCTTGATTATTCCCAGTTTTTTTTTTTCTTTCTTTACTTGTACAACTTTTAATGAATGATGAATTCTGACTCCAAGGTCCTTTTCTTCATCTATCTGTTGTAAGGTAGTGCTGTCAATTTGGTAGTTGTAATGTGGATTGTTGCACCCCACATGCAAGGTCTTCCATTTATCGACATTAAAAAGCATTTGCCATTTATCAACATTAAAAAGCATTTGCCATTTATCGACATTTAAAAGCATTTGCCAGTCATCTGACCAGTTGTAGAGTTCATGTAGATACCTTTATAAGGTATCAATATCACCTTCACTTCCCACTTTACCATAGATTTTAGTGTCATCTGCAAATTTGATGATGTGACTTGTAATGTTCAAATCTATGTCATTGATGTGTAT